ATAAAACAAACAAGAATCTGATCGAAATAATGTTGACATATCAATATCTGGTTGTGGTCTTATACCAGTGCTTGATAAACTAACATAACCTGCTTTAATTAATTCTGAAATTGGGTGTAGGTGTGGCTGAGGGTGCGGGGAGTGGGTGGGTGCGGGTGAGCGTGTGGATGCAATATCAATATATAGTACTCACACCCATACTCATACGGGGTATTGTTTCTTCGCCTTCCGGCTGACTGATAACAAAACTAAGTTTACCTTTTGTAACATCTGTAGAAAACATTAGTTCAAGTTTATCACCAGCTTCCATTTTGATGACGGCTTGACAAACTGAAACAGTCGTATCAGCATCTACTGTTTGAATCGTGTTCGAATCTGCCATATCTTCACCATTGAGTCGCATCCATAAATGAACTTCACCTGATGCATCAGTATCTTTAGCGCTTCCGACTTGACCATAAGCTATCAGAAAATAAATACCTACTTCATTGTACGTGATGATTTCATGTTTTTTAGTCGTTGTTACGTCTAGTTTATTGACTACACTAGAACCATCGAGTATAGTGACGTCGGAGTTGAAGTTACCCAATCGAGTTTTCGAGCTGCATAGCTGTGCATGCGAAACTATGTTAGTACCACCGTTAATCCGCAAAATCGATATTATAATACTAGCAACCAACGCTTCCGTTTCTGGTTGCGTAACAATCAAACCGAGAGAGGTAAATTCATTAACTGTGAAGGCCGAGCCCAAAGAGTACGAATGTACAATCGACAGGAGTTTGGAAAACAGTCGCATAGACTAGAACCGATGTACTTTCATGATCGATCGATTGTATACTATCTGAGTTAGGCTCGTTTGTAATACGTTTTTGCATCCACATATGAGTATCTCCTTTAGCAACTCTGCGTGGTCTACCAATCTGAACAGCGAACATAGTGAAATAAACACCGGCCGTTTTAGCTTCAAATGTGCCATTGTGGTATGCAGTGAAATCATTTGGTCTATCATTTTTATTGTATGTTGCCACTTTTACTTTTGAGCCACCTATTTGGTTCTTTGAACTGGATTCTTAAAAGTAAGCGCCCCTTCGTTTTTTTGCTATTAGCTTCAATAGCTAATAACTCACTGCTAAGAGCAAATAATATCAATATTATATTTAATATTTGGTGTTGTTTTTTGTGTTAATCAGTCAAGTGTTAATAATTGCTTTTCTTTATGAAACATTTCGTCACAAAATAGTTGTATTAAGATGAAAACTATATATTACTTATTTAAAAAAACAAAATCAAAACATAAAATATATGGTATATCAATGAAAGTATCGGTGTACGTTAGGATATGTGTATAGAAATTAAAGAACAACCACATCCATATCCTCCCTCAAGATGGTCTACCAGGGTCCAAAGGATCTTTCATAGTTCACTAGCGTCTGCTAAGGTTTGTCAGATTCTATTATGGTTTACCACGAACCCAAGGGCCTATCAGGTTTTATGAGAGACCACAACGTCTATCAGAGTTGATTAGAGACCTCAGGCCTGATAGAGTTTATAAGAGTCCTCAGGGTCTCTTAGGGTTTAAAAGACATCGCACAATCTATTAGGGTTTATTAGAGATCTCAGAGTCTATTAAGGTTTACCAGAATTCTCAGGGCCTGATAGGATTTTTTGTAAGAGTCATCAGGGCCTATTAGGCTTTATTAGAGGCTTCAGGGTCTATCAGCGTTTATGAGGGATATCAGAGTCTTTTAGAAATCCCAGGATCTATTACGGGTTATGAGAGACCCCAGGGCTTATGTAAGTCTACAAGGACGCAAGATTCTATAAAGGTTTGCTAGAAGCACAAGAGCTTATCACGGTTTACCAGGATCCTCAGGGGCTATCAGAATGTATGAAAAACCTTAGGGTTTACCAGGAATCCAAGAGCTTATCAAGATTTACGAGGGGTTTCAGGATCTATGAGAGATCTCAGGGTTTGTTACAGTGTGGGTGTGGATACAATATCAATATATAATACCCACACCCACACCATCAAGATGGATTATATTTTCATTGATAAAGTATGTCTTCTGGTATCAGAAGAAGCCCTTTTCAAATAAGATACTTTGGAAAGGGTGAAATGACTACACTCAAACTCATCCATATCCAATCTCATGTCTATAGAATCCTATGAGGAATTCGTTACGAATTCTATGACGCAACAACTATTAATTAGTGAAAGACATGTCCACTTACATTAGTCAAACTTTTGGTACCATACGTTTTGATGAAAAAAAGAAGTTAGAGCACAGGAATCTCATTAAAAAATGTAACTTACTGTATAGAATTATGTTGAATAGAAATGAAAAAAAGACAACGACTGTTTATTTGAATTAGAAAGCACGCTTATCTTACTTTGGAATAATACAATGAGAAAGAATTGTTAATATTTTGTATCAAAAAGCTTATCTTTACATAGGAAGTCACGAAGGGTTGTTTAATATCTGCAATAGATAAAGAGAAGAATAGCATGTTTGATGATCAATGAAGAAAAGCATATAATTAATCATATAATATTATTTTCATGTGTTATCATCCTTTTTCTATCTTTTCTGTATGTATATACACAAGTCTCTTCTCACTTTAAGATCTGCAGATGTTTGATTATTATTTCACTGTCGTCACAATGGCCAAAATAAATCTTTAAAGTATCACAGGCTTGGAAGTTTAGAGCAGACAGTCAAATGTACGCTATTAAATTATATGATGTTGAGAGCACATATATACAAAGAAACCTTTGCGATAGATAAGAAAAAGAAAAGAAAAAGAAGTGCAAAATATTGTGCTTGATAAGAATACTGAGTGGAGTTTTGAAATGAAAAAGATTTCGTACGACACTAAAACAGAGTTGTTGGGCAATTGAGAGTGGATGCCGGTATGGGTCGTTGAGAGTATGGGTGTGGGTGTTTCTCTATTTTCTTACATGCATACCCACACCCACACCCTATGTGGATAAGGTTTTAGGGCAGATACAGACATCTGATTTATCGGTATAATACTGTATTATAAGCTAAAATACCCATAATTCTAAACAAAAGACTTGTCATTCTAGAGTTTTTCATAATTTGCTAAGAGCTATCTTATACATCAAGTTAAAACCTCTAGAGCAATTTATTATTTGCATTGAATTCTTCATTAGTAACATATAATATGCTATAAGAGTATACTTATCTATGTTCATAGTCAACAGATAAGTATTTAATAAGATTCAATTAAAAATATTTTCATTATAGAATAGAAGAATGCGAAAATAAAAACATGTCACTTTTTTTGTGCTCAAGTAAGCGTGCTTGTCTTTAGGATGATCTCTTTTCTATTTTTTCTATTTCTTAAGAATGTCAACTAAAATTACATATGCTATATGATGCGATAATTAAATATCAGAGAGGAAAAAAATCTATGTTTTCACTTTAAGTATTGAATGAATGTTTGATAATAATATTGAATAGTATTTATAATATGGATTTAAAGTGTTGTATTCAAGGTCGAAAGATTCTTTTTTTTCATAAAGGTGGATAACTCACATAAAAAAAGTGACGATTGATTCATAACTCAATTTTAGTTTGAAATATCATATATAATGTTAACATAAATAGAAAATATCTTTGTTCTTCAGTTTAGAATTAATATGATATGTCAGAAGATTATATCTATTCATATTCAATGAATTACATCAAGCATTTAGCAAAAATATAATCTCCAGGTTATGTCAGTCTTGATTCAGTTTAAAATAGATTATATTTCATAATCAAGTGCAATATTTGAAACAAACACTAAAAAAAAGAATAAACATGATATTGCCTTGATTCTTTTTCAATCTAAAAAATTTTGATCTTGTGCTAATCTGATTTTTTTCTTTTTTGAATCTTGTCTGACGACCATGACGAAAGTATTTGACAAGAATTACAAACCATGATTATTTTCTGTTCACAATTTGTCAGAGTCAGTAAATATGATAATTTAACGTTTGTGATATTTTTGGAAATTTTTTATCTTATAGAGTCGATCTTTGTTAAAAATTAATATTCTCTTTTATTTGTTTTTATATATCAACAAAATCCTGTTATTATTAATAACTCACACTAATTGTGATCAATGATAGTTTCTCAATGTCGTCATCGAATATCATTTGACTGAAAAGCGTGAAAAAGTGTATTATCTATTGTGACAGAATTCACAGAAAGAGAGAGACAGAAACAGAATAGAAGTTTTCATTAGGACGTATATCACATTTTTTTAGTGCAGAAAACTGTGCAAAAAAGAAACTACTTAAGAGATACTTACTTTAATGAAGTACTTATCTTTTTTCTTTACATTAACTTCTATTTCTAACTGTTTCGATTGACAAAGAAAATTTTGATAAACTCTGATTTTATTATGTTGCAAGGCCATTCATGCTTCACTCTTTTATGTTTCATTTTCTATTTAAAAACTCATTTTACTAGACGATCCATGAAAATATTCATAATTCGAGCATGAAAAGAAATAAATATTTCTTTATTGCATTTGCCATTTGTTTTTCTCTTATCTCTTCTCTTTATTTTTTTTCTAAAATAAGAAAAAAATAAATCATAGATATTTTATATGACATTTTCAAATAAGTATTCGAATTAATGGCAACATTTGGCTATAATAATACTTCAAATATAACAGATCTTGAACCATGGCATATTCCAATGAATATTCTAAGAATGGCATGTACCATCATAACAATAATTATTTCTTTGATTATTTTGGGTCTTATTGCTTCTAAACGAACACCTCGAACAGTACCCATGATGTTAGTTGCTAATACATGTTTAAGTGAATTTATTTGTGTATGTACTGCATTAAGTTTAGTTGCATTTACACTTAATAACGATCTAAAACAAATTCAATATCAAGATTCACTTTGTATTTTTCGAGCTTATATTAACTATAGTATGACTGTTATACAAAATCATTCTTATAATCTTCAAGCAATGTATCGATATATTACTGTAGTATATCCAAGTCGTATTTCTTGGCAATCACGTCGATTAAATTTTTGTTTAATTATTATAACATGGATATTTGGATTAGTATCATTGTTACCATTCTTATTTACTAATTTTATAACATATAATATTGAGAATCAAATATGTCAATCACCTATTCAATTATCATTTCCTATTATTTATATAGCATTGATTATTTATATAATTCCAAATATGATTTTAAATATAATTTATATGAAATTAGTTCGATATGTCCATGCAATGAATAAACGTGTTACACCTGCAAATATTAAATCTCGTGCTGAACGAGAATTAAAAATGGTTCGAAATATTGTTATCATTTCAACGATTCTTGTTATTCTTGGTTTACCATATGCAATATTTATTTTAATGTCATTTTTTACAGTTATACCAAAACATCATTTTCGTATTGCTTATATTTCTATTGATGTATCAACAACAGCGGTGATCATTGCTCTTTTTAAAACTACAGATCCAATTAAAGCGACTGCAAAACAGATTATAAACGAATTAGGAACTATAATTACACGAGCAAGGCCTTAAATGATTAAACTATATACATAATCAAGGTTCCAAATAGAATTCAAATGCAAAACGTTTTTGTACACTATATTTTTGAAAGCAGAGTATATAAATTGAATTTAATTATTAGTATCAATATCCATTTAAAGTTAAATAGAAAAGAAATCAATTTATGACTTAAAAATAAAGTGTTAATTTTGTTTTCGCCAGCAACGTGTAAACCAGCATGTATTTCAAATGTTTTGCACATTTTGACTCTGCTTGGTACATTTGTCATTAGGAACCTTGTTTCAGAGAACCCTATAGTACTTCCTCTATATCATTTTTTTCGAACTATATTTGAAGTATCACAGAAATACGGTTACTTCCCTCATACAAAA